TCCTTCTCCTCTCCTGGGGTTTCCCTGGGCTCAGCGACAGCAAGGCAAGGAGGTACCCAGGCAGTTCAGTGTTTACTCTAACATCAAATCCACCCTCCTTCTGTGCTTTCCAGCAGAGGCCGGTACGCCAATGGTTAACAGCATAGCAGGCATTGGTGGGAATCCACTCGAGCAAGGAGGACCCCAGAAGGAAACCCAGCTTTTTGTCTTGTCTCTTAGACTGTAGGGATGGGAAGAGTGGGTCATAGAAAAAAAGTCACTTGGAAAAGTTGAAGGGCTTGGTTGGGGAGCAAGGTTGGTTTGTAAAATGAAGCTTTTGACCGGAGGTACTTAGTTGACGCACAAAAAAAAAAGTGTTTGCCAAGAGGAACTGATACCTCTGCCTGAGGTGTTTATTTTTTAATTTTCTTTCTTTGCCTTCTCTGAGACAGAGCAAGGTAACAAATATAGCCCAGGTGGAGGCTGTTTGTCACTGAATGGTGAATGCCCTTGATTTCAGCGGGAAATTCTCCATCCATCCATTTTAGTCTATTTATGTGAAAGAAGAAAGTAAATATTTTTGGTCAGCCTTACGTGAAATGAAAGAAAGATCAACAGTGGAACCACATTTGGGGGTAGGGGGAATGTGATCAGCGTATAAAGCTCTTCTGCATTAGAATGCATTTGCTTTAAGCATGTGACTGCTTATTCCCTTATAGTTTTATGTATGTGTATTTATAGATCTTCAGAGACAAACAACTTCTACAAACTAATTATAGTGTGTTGCCCAGAGCACAAGGTACACATTATTCTATGCAGTGAAATGCACGGATACTCTCATGGATACCTAAAATCTGCTGCAATTTCACAGCTGCTCCACAAGCAAATAGATCTGTCACAAACAGGCAACTACGCAGGCCAGGGTCGAAGCTAGCAATTGGAAATCTCCATGCACCCAAGTCCTTGCCAGCCACTGCCCAGCCTCCCTAAAGCAGACCTGCCATTACACACAGAAAACAACAGAATGGAGGTGTTTAAGTCAACACTTTTAGTAGGGTATTAACAGAATACAAGAGAAGAGAGTGAAGAAATGTGCCAGGGATCTTTGAATGTATTTTGTCCAAGTAGTTACTTTCCAAATGTTCAAGCTAATAAATACAGTTAACTTCCTTTTTTCTCCCCCATGCGCTTTATTTGGAACCTGCACGATTTACTGCTAAGGAACCTTTAGGGCTTAAAATACTAGACTAGACTACTAAGTTGATCAGTGGTTTGGTATAATTAGAATGAATCTGCTTTTGTATCCATTGACACAGCTCACAAATGCCAAGTCATCTCTAACAACAAATGACAAATCTATACGCTGCGTACAGCCGATAGAGAGGACAGGGGCAATGATTATAACAAGTTCATTGATTCTAACAAGTTCAAAGTCACCAGATAACTCAAGATGGGGAATCTCTGACAAAAACAAATGGTGTACCCTTTTCACATTGGTTCTTCTTTTACAGAACAGCTTTGGAGTGGAAGCTAAATAAAGCCCACTGGAGACAGGAGCCATCCTTCACCAGCAAGGGTAATGGACTAGAGTGTGACCATACAGCAGTGTACATCAGAAATAACCCGCTGGTCTCACCGGAGTGACAGCTGTGAAGAACTGACCTGAGAGGAGGAGTGAGTCAGACACTTTGGGGCTTTGCCAGAATCTCAAGAAAAAATCACAACAGCTCCCAAACCTGCTACGGCTGCCCAAACCTGCTCTGCCCACTGCACATCAGAGTCCCAGGGCAGGATAAATTTAGCATAGCTGCCTCAGCACAACTTCCTGCTGCAGCACAAGCTGGGTGTCACACAGCCGCACTGATACTCTGCCTGTCCCGGGCCTAAGAACCGGTGTAAGTTCAGGAAACCCTGAGGCTTTTCCAGCTTATGCTGGTGACCAGGTGGACCTTGAGATTGTGGAGGTGGACCAATTCCTCCGGTTGCGCATCTACTTACAGCAGCTCATGTGCTCTCCCCACTTAAACTTTTCTCCCTGCTGAGTACAAGGGGGACAGAACTCAGACAGACTCCCCCCCGCGTGGTCCCAGCGGAGCTGCATCCTTGACCCCCTGTGTGGTGGCTGGCACCCAGCGAAAGGGCACTTTGCTTTCTTAGCTTTCTCCCAGTGCATATCCTGACATGCCTGATGTGTCTCAGCTGCCATGATTTGACCTAAAGCCTATTTTGCTCTCCCACCCTCCCACCGAGCTTGCCCAGCAGATAGGTGGGATGGGATCTGCTCACTTCACAGAGATGAAACAAAATTAGGGTTTGTCTCAGTCAAGTGGGGGCTGGATTGGTGCTACCAGGATGGACTGTCTGGGTGCTGCTTGTGTTAGGTGAGCTGGGATCACATCCCAGCTCGACATTAGGGGCAAAAACTGGCAGTGGTGAAATTGTTTCCCACTGGTTTTGCTGGGAGGTGCTGGTTGGACTGCCCTTGAAAAGCACTGGATAAAAACCACCTTCTTTGCCTCTTACCCCTTCTGCCCCTGGCACTTTTTGACTGATGGCATGGAGACGGGAGGACCTTGGGGTAAGGGAGGATTTCTGAGCCCCTGCATTTGCCCCTGTGCTGCGCACACTCCTTCCCCCTCCCAGGGACCCTGCTGCCGCTGCAACCGGAGAGGGTCTGGGTGAGCATTTCTAATGCTTGATACAAACAGGAGTAATACTGAAACCTGTCTCTCTGGGTTCTCTCTTGCCATCAGGAGAGAGTAACAGCATCACCGTTTGCTAACTTGTATTGGACAAAAAAAAAGGTGTCCATCCTTCTCTGGGACATTTTCTTACAGATCTCTAAGCCATCAACAAAACTCCCCAAAACCTGGGTGCCATCGGTTTGGGGGACCACTGAGCTGGCTTTGCCGCTCCCTCTGCTGGTGGCTGCTCCGTCCCCATGTCATCTCTGCTCCGGCACTGCGTTTTAGGGGGGTACACAAGCTATTTCTGGCACTGCGGTCCAGGTCCTCAGTATAGCTCTGGCGTGGCATTTGCTGATGTCAGTGCATTGACGTGGCTGTGAATCCAGGAGGAGATAAGAGGCCAACGCTGCTCACAAAGACAATACACAGAAGATGCCAAGTGCACTTCAGATTCTTTGAAAATAAAATCACAAAACAAATCAAAAACATCTGGGAATTGATGTTTGTTGTTTGTAATTACTTTTATGAGAATGAAAACCTTTCTTCTCCCACTATTCTTCCTTCTCAATCAAAGA